TGCAGTGCGCTCACTGGGACTCACCGCTCCAGTGTGTTTCTGCTGCCGCCGCCCAAATGCGCGGTATGGTGGTGGGATCATGGGCGTGAGTTTGGTATGGGGGGTGTATGTTGTCGGTGGGTGTGAGGGGTTATTTTTTGGGGGAGTAATTTTTTTGTCCGTATTTAATAAAGAGGTTTGACTGTGCAACTTGTCTGTCAACATCCAATTTTACATATCTTATAGAATACACTTACCGAAAAAGACTGTAATCAGTCGAACATACTGTAAAGGTCTGTAAATAAACCTAAGGAAGAAAATAACCCTTAAACGTCAATGTCATTATTTAGCTGTACATACCGTGAAAAGCAAAGGCAAAAGGAAGCGAGCTGATGTTAGAGACCTTTAGCATCAGGCAAACCGCAAACCGCAGTTTGCAGTTAGGCGTTTGCAGTTTAGCGTTGCCAAGATTTCAAATTATAGCAAGGCGTTCAGTTCAGTTCAGTTCAGTTCATTTTTATTTAGCCAAAATATAATACAATACAAGAATACATATAGGAATTGTAAGGTAGCAAGGGAGCCAAGAAGAAACCAGAAGGTTTATGAAGCCTGGGCTCCCCAGTCTCAAAGAAATAAGCAAAATAAAATGAAATTCGCGGTGTGATGCGTTAAAAATAGGAACTAAACAGAGACTGAGTGAAGTTATGAATTCCGCAATCAGTAACAAGATAGAAAAAAATTTAACTCTGGATTGGAACAGAATACTTTATTTTGTTAGTACGGCAGAAAGGAAGATAAAATGGATTCCAACCAGGCGTTCAATGTTTAGGGCCGCGGCCATGATGTTTTCATCAAGTGCATCACTTTAATCGCCCACAAATCAGCAATAATTCATTGAATCCAACAAACACACCTCAAACGGATATCAAAAGCTATTTCATACTTTTAAACGCGAGGCTGTACAATTTTTTGTGGCAAACAACCTTGCTGTAAATCACTTACCGCTGGAAGCCGTTTTTGCGGTTCAAACTGCAAACGTGACCGCAAGGCCGTGGTCACGTGACATTTTGCGGTTTGCGGTTTGCGGTTTTTCCCATGAAAAATCTGATGCTAAAGGTCTCTATTGCAGTGCTGTCAACTCTCCCGGGTAATCCGGGAGACTCCAGATTTTGGAGCGTATCTTCCTGTCTCCAGATTAGAGTACGAAATCTCCCGGATAATGGCCGAAGTTTGCCATTTCTTAAGTAGACTCGACTTTCCGACTATAAAATTTTAACTTTTTTGTGGCAAATTACTTCTCCCCACACCCCCCACACCCCCACAGCCCCTCCCACTAGTCGCGGTTGCACGTTATAATTCAGTCCTTGGCCCCTTGGAACATCCTCCTCTTGTGCTTGGTAACAACGATTATACAGTTATACAGGTTTCGTCAAGGTCAATATCAAGGTCATGGTGTAAGTGCATGAGTGCAAGTCCTGACAACCGCTCATCAGACATCAGACATTCCATGGCTTCAGCTCCTCCCGTTCAGCTTCAGCTTCTCATTTTCAGTTTCACTGGATTTGACTGGTTGATGGAAAGACGTTATCGACCGAGTTGTCGCCAAAGTTGTCCACCAGCTGAGAAAGTAGAGACGATCACGTGTTTTTCAATCTGTGCGCACCGATCGCCTTTGGCGCGGGAAATATTGCTTAGCAAGCAGAGGCGAACAGATCATAGGACGGACCCCCCCCCCCCCCCCCCCCCCCCCCCCCC